AAATACTCGAAGTCAAGGTGAAATGTGCCTTTAACATCGTGTGATGTGAATAGATATTATACTTGAAGTTTCGTGCAAGTGCGAGTTTCCCAAAAACACTCTGAAATTTTGAAAGAGAAAATTATAGTTAACTCTACATTTTGCCCACAACTTTCTTTTTCAACTGAACAACATCGTAGATCTAAATATTTCTACGGGATATTGTTTTTTTATCATTGAAAGTTTGATCTATATCCATATCAGGCAATTTTTCTTTGTGTCAATCAACAATGGAATCATTATTTTCTCGAGGGGTTTAGATAATTTTATTGAATTTCGACTTATGAAATAGATATTTGACAATAATTAGATTTATTAATAAATAAAAATATAAATAAATTAAATAAAATATCAAAATGTTTAAGTTTTGAACTCAACACTTTAACAACCAACTTAAGTTTGAACTCAAAAAAATAAAGATCAAGTTCAATTTATCTATCAGATAAAAATTATATAAGTCAATACCTAATGAAATTATCGTGGAAATACACCCATAGTGCGGAGAAATTAATCAGGAGACCGAGTTCAAACCCAAAACAGGCCATTTCGTGGCCTTGTGCAATTCCCAAATGACACCATTAATTAGTGCACAAGATATATAATTTTATTACTGGATTGTGATTCTCGCTACCATTTGGTACATGCTACTCCAACAACATGACGGTCTTTATTGTAAGTATTTGACCGGCAAATAACATTATAGTTTTCTACGCTCCGAAGGATGCAAGCTTAGGCTTACTAGGAGGCTTAACCAAGAACACATCAAGAAGCCTATCAACTGAAGTATACTTGTACTCAGGGTATAACTCCGACGCCTCCAAATCTTCCTCAGTTAGCTCAAAGCTCGTCTGATCGCCTTTCACAAATATGTTGTGCAGGATTGCTGGCGGCACGTTCTCCGGGCTTGGCAATGCTACAATTAATGAAAAAATACACAATATTTCTTATACATGCCACAAGACATAAGCATTTAATGATCAATTAATAATCCAAGTTTTTCACTTACTTTCAGTTTGCTTTATGATTTCCTCCTCAGGAACATGAACTCTTTTGATGTTTCTCCCAGTTTTTTTCTCCCAAGAAGAAATCAAATCCAGTTGAGATACAACATTGCGCGGAGGCCTTATGATAACAAGGCGGTTGGCTGCTCTCGGATCTATAGCAGCCATGACTATGTAAGTTGCTACATCTTCCTCATAATTTAGTACGGCTGCATCAAAATATTGAATGTATATATGGAAAAGAGTCAACTTCAATTCTTTCCTGAAATACATGTACATATATATATATATATCAAAATATCTTAATTTTGCAATGTCATTTGAGTATAAATAATTTTAATGGGTTATGCTTAACATTTTAAACATTATATTTTATTTTAGTATTTGTGGACATAACATTTTGTAAGTACTTCGGAATTAATAAGGGAAAAATACAGACAACCATGTTATCTAATAAAAAAAAAATCTGAGTTTTGTAAAGCCCTGACATATATAAATACCTTTTGCTTCTCCACTTCCATATATGATGACTTGGTAGTCTTTCTCCTCTGGATGGAGCAAATAGTTAACAAAGTACACTGAAAATGAGTTGGCGGAGACGAAAGTGTAAGAGAGTCCAGCCGCCTCCGTGGCTCTTCGGATCTTTCTTTTGTTGGAGAGCATTGCCTCGAAAGGTGGAAGAGCTGTCACTCTGTCTGCTTCGTTTCCATACTCAGAAGGAACAAACCTCTGTAAGTACAAAAGTGTGAGATCGACCGCAGATCATCATATTTATTAAAATGGTATTACACACTCATCCTTAAATTTGGGATTTTTTATAATCTTATTATAGTTTAGTTACTTCTAAATTTTCATCTATTCACAGTTGCTTTTAGATTGGAATTGCACACTTAAACATAAGATACTAATTAAAACTTGAATTTGTTAGTCTCTTGTCATCTTCTCTAGTTTATTTTAGATTGGATGCTTAATAATATTAGTTATGCTAATATAACATGTCTCTGACAAACATAAGAGAGAATTAACCTTGATGGTGCCAGCATCTTTCATGGCTTGTATAATATTGAGTTGCTTAAGGTATTGAGGGATTGGAACTGCAGAGATGACGACATCTACCTGTCGAAGCACTGAAACTAGTTTTTCATGGTCATCCAGCTCACCCTGTTTTAATTCCCAACATATAGACAAAAGAATCGGTATCAAAACACATATAATCATCAAAGGCAAACACATTATATATTATAGGGAAATTAAAGCAAATATTTTCCTGGAAAAGGGTGACTCCCATGGACTCAAATTCCCTCAGAAGTTGGAGCTTGGAAGAGTTGTTGTCGTTTGGTTTGAGAGGGCGAGTGTAGGCGTAGGTGTCATGGCCCATGGAAATGCTTGCCTTTACCAGGTATGTTCCCAGGTATCCTGTCGCTCCAAATATCAGTATCTTGCTCTTCTCAAATGCCATTTTCGGTCAGTACCGCTCACGTTCGACGTCTACCTTCCTGAAACAAAATGAAAGTTGTGACGAATTGGTGCAATTTATAGCAAAATGCGGAAATGCATGAATCAAGACCACAATCGTAAATATCATCTAGGAAAAATGTTTGGATTGACCAAAATGGAGTTGAATTGACCAAAATGGA